TCAGCTCACCTTGCAGATGAGTTTGTGCAGTGATGAGGTGTCTGTCATCTGTCCTTCCATCCACAATTCCCAGGAATCATTCCTACCAGATAACTGATCAGAGTTTATGATCACCTAATGAACTTATGGGAGTTCCTAAAACATGCTGATGCATGTGAATAAGGACTTTATGAGACTAAAACAAAACAAAAAAAAAACCTTTCAGAGAAAGAGAGAGACAGAAAGAGCAAAAACCTGCAGCCAAATTAACAATCTGGTATATTCTTACGACGATTCAATGCCCTAGCCAGCTCAGCAACACCAAAAGCAAAGAAAGACCACAGAAGACAACTAAAGTGCATTATAACACAATTGTTTCCATGGTTAAGAAAAACTTCACTGCATCTAACCAGGCCAAGAACACTCTTAAAGAGGTAGATCTATCATTCACAGAGCAAAAAATCAAATGGACAATTACCCAAAGTATAGTGTAAGAGTTTCGCAGGGCAATAATGGATATTCTTCAATGGCCAAGTCAGTTACCTGTGCTCAACCCAACACAGCATTCTGAATGCAGTGACACAGACAAGCAGCAACTTGTTTTTTGGAATGTATGTGGTATTTGTTTTCAGGCAGAAACAAAACAAAAGTTCTCCTCATACAGGAAATGTTATAGATTTTAATTGTACCCCGGTCTCTATTCATGGACATAATTGACACAAAAAGAAAGAGTTCATAGAAACAAATGATTTTCTTTGTACAACTCCTTTTTTACTTTGTTAAACAGAAAAAGCAAGCTCCTTATAGAAGAAAAAACAGGACAAAAATTGGAATGTGATATTGAAGGAAAAGTTAAAAAACTAACAGACAGACACATAACAAACCCAAGCCAACAACCATGGGGAGAATTACAGAATATTTTATGTAAGAACACAACCTAGAAATAACAATTTCAAAGAAAATAATAAATCAAGCAAATTCCTAGCAAATCAACTCCAGCGTAACAAAGGAAAGTCACTCACAGTCAGACATTCAGCTGGGCAATACACACAACAGGACATTAATAATACCTTTTATAGTCCATCCATTCGCTTCCGCTTATCCTTTTCAGGGTTGCAGGCAGCACTGGATCCTATCCCAGCTGTCATAGGGCGGGAGGCGGCGTACGCCCCTGGACAGGTCGTCAGTCTGTCGCAGGACTAACACACAGAGAGAGACAACCATTTGCATTCACACCTATGGGCAATATAGATTAATCAATTAACCTATCCCCACAAGCTGCATGTCTTTGGACGATGGGAAAAAGCCAGAGTACCCGGAGGGAACCCACGCAAACATGGGGAGAACATGCCAACTCCACACAGAATGACCCCAGCCTGATGGAGGAACTGAACTCAGGACCTTCTTGCTGTGCGGCAACAGTGGTATCCACCCTGCCACCGTGCTGCTAGATAACTTTTATGCCTTTATATACCTTTTGTAGCTATTACTGTGATTTCTATTCTGCTGAAAATAAACACAATCCAGAAGATATTCGGTTATTCCTCTATAACACGAACTGGTTAAGGCCCTGCTGATCTAGAGTACACAAAACCTACACCTTGATGCAAAGCATGAGGACAGAAGGTCAAAGTCAGAGATAGATTAGCTGAAAGCAACACGGAGACTGCAGGAAGTGCAAACTATATTAAATAATTACTAACAAAAACATTTTACAACTAAGTTGTAATTTTAGAAAGCTAAACAAAGCATTTGATACATTAAGCCTTTTAGTGTTAATTATTCTGAATCAAGTGTTCACATGTTTTTTTGGTCATGTGTTGTCAGGTGTTGAAGCAGGCGTGGCCTTTTTTTGGGACGTACATGGAGAAGCTACTTAGAGAAAACATCCAGCAGTCCATCAGGTTCTCCAGTCCTTCACTGAAAACTTTTACTTTTACCAAAATCCACTTTGGGCGCATTGTAAGTGTCTTTGATTTGTGCAGTTCTGAAAACGAACTGGGTCTGTCATGATCCTGTGGCTGCTACCCAGCATTTTGAGCTTTTTGCACTTTGAAGTTTTTGAAGTTAGTTTAATTATTAATTTAATTCCTGGCTTATTTAGTGTTTACATTTACTTCATTCATTCTGTGTTCTGTGTATTTTGTTTTGTTCCTAGTTCTCAGTTGCTTTAGAGTTTAGTTCTTCCCTCAATGTCACTTCCTGTTGTGTTGAGTCTCCTTCATTGAGTTCATTTGTGTGTTTTCCCTGTTAAGGTTTGCTTTTCCTGCTTTATTTTGGGAGTTGGTTGCTTGTAGCGTGCTTCGTTCCACTGTGTGTGTATGTATATATATATATATATATAGTTTCTGTCTCCCCTTGTCAGCACTTCTGTTCACCTTTCTCAGTGTTCCATAGCCCTAGTATGTTTCCAAGTTTGTTGTTTTTCAGCAACTTTTCAGTTATACTGTGGTACCTTATTCTTTGCTTCTTTTCTGAAATCTGTCAACGATCTAATCAATGACTCGTGTTCAGTCTGCACTCGGGTCTTCATCTCCCTACACATTACAGGGCGACTGTAATGGAAATAAAAACAGAACGTAATGCAAATCTCATAAATCTGTATTTCATTCACAACAGAACACAAAATATGTCAAATATTTCAAGTGAGAAAATATATAATTTAAAGAAAAATGTTAGCTCATTTTGAATGTGATAGCAGCAACACGTCTCAGAAAAGTTGGGATGCAGTCACGTTTACCACTCTTCTTTCTGCTTCTGATGTTTTTAGTTGGTGAAAGTTCTTCTACTGCAGGCAATCCATGTTTTTGCAGTCCATCATTACTTCTTAGAAACTCTCTCTTTCTAAGATGCTCCAAACCTTTTTAAGACATGGAGTTCAAAATGAACTATGAGGTTTTTTTTTCTTAAAATGGTCCATTTTCTCAGTTCTACTGTGAATAAATTATAGGTCTGTGGGATTTGCAAATTTTGCATTTTGCTTTTATTTACATTTTAAATCGAGTTTGTATTTGTTCTCCTGGAAATCCACCCTAATATCCAGTGACATTTATTCATTGGAAATGCGTTGGAGGTGATGTGTTGTGGCTGAATGGTTTTCTTTAAATGCTTCTTTATTTTCAGCCTCTCAAGATCACTGGAATAAGAGCGTACACACATGAAGTGGAACATAGGGAAGTGATTCTGGACATGAACATAAGGTCGGTCAAACACATTTTTTTTTTTACTTTACATTCTAAGTCGTGTGCAGGATGTTTTCTCTTGCCATCATTTATGTCTGACCAGCTCAGTTTACTCTGCAGTTATGACGGTGATGTGGACATTCGTGCTGACATGAACTCAGCAATGACAGCTGGTGTGAAAGGCCTTAAAGTGAGCATCTCATTTTCCTGTTTTCTCTCCATCATCTGTATCATATGTTTACTATTCTTGTAAAACTTTCACTGAATCTTCCAGTTCCAGGGGATGATGAGAGTTATTTTAGAGCCTCTTATTGGTCAAGCACCGCTGGTGGGAGGAGTCACTTTTTTCTTCATTCGCCGCCCTGTAAGTGGCCACAGATTTTCTCAGTGTGGAGTTGTGAGAAGTGTAGTTGTGTGTTTAATATTATCTAAAGCGCTCTTTTTTTCAGACATTAAAAATAAACTGGACTGGCATGACAAACCTTTTGAGCAGCCCCGCCTTTAGGTCAGAGAATCTTTAAAAAAATAATCCTATTATTACCGATTCATCCAGAATTTTTGATGTTTGCTTGTCTCACTCCATCTTTCACTTTACAGTTCACTGTCAGAGGAGACCATCATGAACATCATTGCTTCTTTTATAGTGTTGCCCAACCGCATGTGTATTCCCCTCATAGACCAGGTCAAAATGGACCAAATGAGGTTTCCACTTCCTCGTGTAAGTACCATCACATTTCCAATTCACACATTTAGCTTCACCTTATAACCAGCAGCTACTTGGATTTTTTTATAAGCACAGTGAATTTTAAGATTAAAAAAATATGTTAACTATTTGCTCTTTAAACCTATTTTTACCTTTACTTGTTACCTATACAAAGACACTATCATTCATATGAATCTTGTGTTTTTATCTCATAGGGGGTGGTGAGGGTCCACTTGCTGGAAGCCAGGGACCTGCTGGCTATGGACACATACGTGATGGGTTTAGTGAAAGGCAAATCAGACCCCTATGCCACACTCAGAGTGGGCAACATACACTTCAAAAGCAAGACTGTGAAAAAGAATCTACATCCAAGATGGAATGAAGTGTATGAGGTAGGCTAACACGAACTCCCCCACACAAAATTCAAACACATGACTGTAATTCATACCCTGTAATGCTGGGTGTGTCACTCATCTTCGGTTTTACTTGTTTCATTGTATTGTTGTACAGCATCAGTATCTAATATTCCATTTTCTGCATGTAACCTTGTCGTCTTAGTGCTTTTAAAAACTTCCTCGCTTTTTTTATCTGTGCAGTTTGTTGTCCACGAGGCTCCTGGCCAAGAGCTAGAAGTGGAGCTGTATGATGAAGATGTAGATAAAGATGATTTCCTTGGAAGGTATGTCGTACAGTTTTGAGTTATGATGATGTTTTTCTTGGCTTTTCCTTATCTCATCATGCAGGCTGCAGTCCTCTTGCAGAGTCAGTTATGCCTCAGTAAATTTCTAAGAAAAGCCCTTCTCAAAGTTCCTGGCATCAGTGGATTCTTACCTATGAAGAGCTTATAAAAAAATCTAACTAATATTGACATTAACAATGTGATTTGTATTTTACATTGGCTGTCTGCTTTAGCTATAAGCTCGATTTGGGAGAAGTGAAGAGAGAGAAACAAATGGATCAGGTGAGATCTTTTACCCTGAAGAGCTGACAAATGAAAAATGTATCTAAAATCAGGGTTAATGGAATTGAAACTGAAAGAGTGTACGAAAATAAATTTCTTGGAGTGATAACTGATGATAAGCTTAGCTGGAAGTCTCATATAAACCACGTGAAAGCAAACATTTCAAAAACCATTGCTATTCTCTACAAAACAAAGCATGTCCTGAACAAGAAATCATTATACACACTTTATTGTTCTCTGTTGCTTCCATATGACTTATTGTCTTGAGACATGGGGTAATGCATATAAACAAATACTCTTCCTATTTCCGAGTTACAAAAAAGAGCTATAAGAATTATAAATCAATCGAACTATATAGCACCAACTAACATTTTGTTTATTAATCTGAATACCCTGAAATTTTATAATTTAGTTGAATATAAAATGGCACAGATAAAGCACAAAACAACTTGCTTTGCCACAGTACCCAGAAGCTGCTTAAAGTCAGAGAGAGTCAATATGACTTAAGGGGAACAGATTTCTTAAAAAAAACAAGATAAGGACGAACATAAAGCAGAGATGTGCTTCTGTTAGAGGAGTTAACCTGTGGAATAGTTATCACAGTGATTTAAAACGGTGGAGTTCATTTCCCTTGTTTAAAGACATGTTTAAAAATAGAGTATTAGAAAAATATATAAATCAAGAGTGAAAAGAGCAATAATAATAATACTGAAACTCTTGTTTTCTTTGTTTTGTTTTACTCTTTGCTTTGAGCCGTATGTACATGAGCTGCATGCTAAAAGATCTTCTGTTGGTTGGCGTAATAAGCATGTGCTTCAGCCAATACCTTTTGATTAGCCTTGTCTCGTGCTTTCTTACTTTGTGGTAGATCTTTTTTCTGCATTCACTGAGATATTTGAATGCTAATCAATAAATCAATATTCAATAGATTAATCTTCATAACACAACATTTCTGTACCACAGTGCACTGTTTCATATAAAATGCATGTGCTACCATTTTTCCTGGTTTTCTATTTGCACTAAAGCCATTCAAACATCCTCTTACTCTTGCAGTGGTTTCCTTTGGAGGATGTGCCACACGGTGAAGTTCATCTTAAGCTCCAGTGGTTTTCCCTTCAGACTGACACCAGCCTACTGCAGGAGGTACAGCAGCCCACTATTTCTTCAACATAACATTCGAATTTGTTTATTTCACTTTGAACTAAAAGCAGCAGCTGTATGTGTGTCAGTGTCCAACTGCTGTGGAAATCACATTTCTTTCCTCTCACAACATTTTCTCCCAGTCCAATGACAACTTTGCCTGTGCCATACTTGCGGTGTATCTGGACAATGCCACAGATCTACCGGTAAGCATCTTCTGTTGATAAGTAGTATTGTTCTTGTTGTTGTCATGCAAATGTTCTCAGCTGTATTTTTGTCCTGCTCAGACCTCAGACCACCAGAGGCTCAGGAAGAACTCAAAAGAAGCGCAGGTAAGACGACAGCTTTTCTAGCATTAATGCATCAGGCTGTGTCCTTGTTTTTCTTGTTGCAATTTGTTTTAATGCCAAATTTATACAGATATTTGGATCAAACGTGCAATATTAGCTCTAATAATAGAGATGGCAAAGCAAGTCCTTCACTATCACTTGTTTTGATCACATTGAGGACCCTTATGTCTTTCTGTCCTAAACATGTTTATAAAAATATCCGTGATTTTGGGGGTTATTGGGAGCCCAAAGCTTATTGAGTTTGCCAGTGAGAGTATGTTTTCTTTTACAATAATAGATGAGCATATTGAAACAAAAGCTTTGTTTTACTTTTATTTACTTCATTTCAGTGTCCTGCAGCTGATAGTGCTTTTGTGTATTGATGCCAAAACACCATATCAGTCAGGTCATCTGCTTTCTGTAGCTGTTCTAGATGTGCCTGTGCGTGTTCAGAGGTGGTCTTTCCAGTTTGTCTGGCGCATGCCTGTAATTGTATATGCCTGTTATTGCCAGCTGCTCTTCATCTAACTCCTTGAACCGAGACATGTTCAGATTAAATTTCCCAGCCTTAAGAAACATGCAGGAAGGAAACTTAGAACATGGAGGAAACAGACTTTTTTTTAAAAAAAAATTAAGGTTCTACTTTCACAGATTTCATAATTGATATGAATTCCATTCATCTGGTATTTTAGATAATTATAAACCAACTGGTAGAATTATTAAGGTTTTTTTTTTTAAATAACAAAACTCTTTTACTCTTTTCTCAATTCAAGGTTTCCTAATTTCATTAGTACTGTCCTCTGCTGGTTATAATGTGAAAATGCAGGATAAAAATAAACTGAAAACTTAATTTCTTATCTTTATGCATCATTATTTGGAAGTGTAAAGATGCAGGTTGGCCATTAGTATTTTTTTCTGCTTCAGTAATGATTGTCAGCATAAATGTTTTTCTTCTTCCTCGTCTTAGTTGGTGGTGTGGTTTATTACAGAGTTGAATAAAGAACGTTGCAGTTTATTGTTGGAAGACTCCCAATTTTGGTTTTGTACAAGCCAAATAATATTTTTATGAAAGGAGTGTCATAAGAATGCTACCAGAGAATCCAGGTGAAAAATTAAATAGTAAAGTACGGTAGTTGCAATTATATGTTTATATAATCCCACTCAAACTCATACATACATTTGATAAATGACATTTACAAATCCATAGAGACACCGTGAACCATTCTCCTAATGAGGACTTCATCTTGAGTGATCGCAGGATTCCTTGGTCACTGTATTAATTAAACACTGCTTACAATTGGTTATGCAGCAATCACATTTACTATAATTATTCTTTGTTTCCTGTAAAAAAAGCTGACTTGTTACCTCCCTTTTGTGCCTACCTTTAAGGATTTGTGGGTAAATATAATTACACAGTAATTTCAAATAAAATTCTGTGAAATTCCATTTAATTACATGGGACTTGGTCTTGGTCTTACCAAAAATTTGAACGTCGATTTCCTGCAGAATCAACTACATTTAAAATATGAGTATAAACAACCAGATAAACTAGTTCTTCAAAACACATTTAAAGTCAATATAAAAATCCAAAATATTCACCCGGTTATAGGAAAAAGCTCACGGAGATCTCACAAAGCACACAGAATTCATCACATAATTATGACAAAATTCACACAAAAAACAGAAAAAAAAATATGGAACAGATGTAAACTGCTACCTAACCTGGTTTGCAGAGGTTTACAATTATAAGGCAGGTTATTTGTTTTTTTATATTGACACTGACTGAAAGGAACAGATCCACATAACCGTATTGGAATTGGAATAGAGCTCTATGGATGTTCTGACCAGGTCATTGTTTTGCTTTGTTTTCAGATCACAAAGAGAGCAGCCTTTCCCAACAGCTTTGTTGAATTTTCCATTGACAGCAATGTTCAGAAAAGCAAGGTATTGCTCTCACTTTACCATAAAAACACATAACTTTCCCCTATGATATCAAATATGATCATTAAAGCTGTCATTATCGCTGTATGGGCACTTGCTTTAAATGGTAATGCTTCACCTTTTTTCATTAAGTTACAATTTGTTATGAATGAAAAAGATCACTTTTATGATATTTACAGATTTTAGACCATTTCCGCTACCAGGAAGATCAAAACTGAGGTCAGACTAGAGGTCTACAGATCAAATGGAGATATCAATTCATTTGAAATTTGATAAAAGCCTAAATTCAATAAAACTGAAGAATAGTTTGGGATGAGAACCCATCTGAAAATGAGCACCTACCTGCATTTTTGGCAAAATTCAAGTCTTAAAATCAATTTTTGTCATTTCTGGTTTCAAATAAGAACGTGTGTCACTTACCTACCAACATTTTTAAGCAACATTTTTAGGTTTAGTGATCCAAAATAAATACATTTTGACTGCATTTTATCTGGAAGCATTTTGACTCTAGATCAGTGAAACTATTATAAAGTCCGTCGAAAAAAATACTGCAGTTACAAACGCAAAGCACAGTAACTGTGTCATCTTTTTGCAGTGAATAACTTGAATTACTACTGATGCACTGTTTCTCCAGGTTGTGTATGCTTCCAAAGACCCGGTGTGGGAGGAGGGCTTCACCTTCTTTGTGCGTGACGTCAACACGCAGCAGCTCTTTGTTCAGGTTTGTTTTTTAATCCAGAACAAATTGCTGTCAAAAACAACCATTTGGAAAGTATTGTTTTTAAAAACTTGACTACAATCACTGCTGCTAATAAAAAAAAAATATATAGTGCTATATTTATCATGTTCCCATTTAATTGTCCAATTTTGACTCAGAATGAAACTTTTACTACAATTGACACAAATGATTCTGAAGCATATTCTGAACCCAGACCTCTTTCAGTCTATCTGATCTCTTCATGAGGTTAATGTAATTTGTGTTTTTTTAAATATTTTTTTTTTTCATGTGGTTCAGGTCAAAGAGCCTGAGAAGAAGAATCACCTCGGTGTTCTCAACTTGCCCCTTAGTCGCCTCCTCAACACCTTGGACCTGACTCTAGACCAGTACTTCCTGCTAGAGCACTCTGGAGCAAACAGTCAGATCAAACTCAAGGCCACGCTCAGGGTGGGCAAGCACACACACACACACACACACACCCATCTGTCTTCCTGTACAAAGCAAATGTTCTCTGTTGGTTTTCTCATTGTCTTATTCACCTCTGTCATAAGTAGCATTGCTCATGTCTTTTATCTCACACAGATTCTTAATTTGGAAGAGCCTCCACCCGAGACTTTCATCAATCCTTCTTCAGAAGTCAAACAGCAACAGGCCAGAAAAGCAGGGAATACCTCAGTCTCCAGTCCCTCCGATGCTCCATCTTCCTCTCACACAGTTTCCTCCAACAATACCCCTGGTCCCTCAACTCCGAACCAAGAGACAGCTTCACCAAATCAAGGTTATTTAGCTCAAGGCCGTGGCTCCTTCCAGGCATCTAAGAAAAGGAAATCATCTGCGATTGTGCGCCGGCTGACCTCTCACAGCCTGCTGTCGCAGAACTCCATCACTTCATCCAGTTTTGACCCCTCGGATGAATTCTTATTTCCAGAGTGAGACTTTGTTCTCTGCGTGTCCTTTAATGTCAACTTCTAACCTTTCCAAAGATATCCTGAACTGAGCTGGATGCTGCATTTTCAAAAAAAGTATAAAAATGAAACTGACCTTTGCAATTTTTTCTCTTTAGAGCCATTAGGAATCATCAGGGTTCATTTGGAGAGATTGAGCTAAATGTACGCTATGCAACCCTGAAACATAAGCTTATAGTCTTTATAATCAGATGCAGGTATGTCACAAAAATCTGTCCTCATTACCATTTAAGTTATTAAAAGGCTTAGATTAAAATATACAGAAACAGTTCTCCTAAATACCGTGGCCTCTCCCACACAGGAACTTGTTGCCCTGCAGTGAGCACGGCACAGACTCTTATGTCCGCCTGTATCTCCTCCCCGACCAAACCTGGAAGCATCGTAAGAAGACGCATGTCAAGAAGAGGATGATCAATCCCGTCTTCAATGAAAAGTAAGTCTAATACGCTCATTCACCATTTGTTTGTTGTAAAGGAATAATTTATATTTTTATACTTTGTAGTTTGTGTGTCTTTAAAGCAGACACTGAGATGGTGTCACTTTCTTTACCTGCTTTCATCACAGGTTTGAGTTTGATGTGTTACTTCAAGAAGCACAAGCTAGGAAGTTGGATGTGTCTGTGAAAAACAACAGCATTTTAGTCTCTCAAGAGAGAAAGGACATAGGTTCGGTATGTTAAGCTCATTTTGAAGCTGAACTACTCATTTGGTATTGATGTCTTAAAATATATAAAAAAATATAAAACTATATATGGAACAATATTTATACATGTACATTTTTTTTCTTATACATATTTATGCTGACATTTGCTTTTTATTAAAAAAAAATCCTAAACATATATTGCATGGTTTATGAAAATATAACTTGAAAACTATTTTTTAAATATTTTTAAATAACAAGTACTGCTATCATAACAATTGTAACAAAAATAAGCAATATTTTTTGTGCTAATAACACTCATGCTGCTCCTGGTAAATTCTGCATTTTTCTTCCTGTCACAAGCTTCAAAGCCTTAAAAGCTTAAATCTCTCTAACTCAGCTAAACTGCTTTATGTGTTTACTCATTCTTCAGACAAATATGCGACCTCTCATTTTCCTACTTTTCTTCATTGTGGTTTAAATATTTATTTTATTTTCTTCATATGTGGCATAAATTGAAATCCTAGCTGCTTTCACTATCACACTTTTGCAGCTTGCTCCAGACAACTGATGGCAGTTCTGCTTCTTTCTGCAGGTAATAATAGATTTATCAGAAATCGATCTAGTCAAAGGCGTCACAGCGTGGTAAGGGGGCCAGTTTTCTCTTATTACAATTAGATTTATGTGACACTGAATGTGAATGTGCTGACTTTAAGTATCAATACTTCCTTCTTTTATTGTCTTGCGGTCATCAGTTTGTAAAGAAAATCCTCCCTGACCAGCTTAATTAAAGGAACAGTTTGAGGAAAATTCACATATTGACTTTCTTGCTGAGAGTTAGATAAGATTGATGGTTCTCTATTCCTCTGTCTTATCTGGTGGTAAATGAAGCTCAAGCCTGCAGCTCATTGACTTAGCACAAATAATGGAAACAGCTACAGCGGCTTTGTCCAGCAGTAATAAAATCTGCCTGCACCTTTGTTGCTGGGCACTTTTTAACTGGTTTCCTTTTTTCTATATAACTTCCTGGAACTTCCTTGCTGCTTTTATGGAAGTCTCACATTGTTTTTGTACCAATTACACAATGTGAGGCATAAGAAGACAAATGTTTCTGTGTTTCTGTGTTTTAGTTCATTTAGCTGAAGTACAGATAAACTTGTGGTCAGATTACAGAGAACAATCACAATTCCAAAAATGGTAGGAAACTGTGTAAAACATAAATAAAAATTCAAAATGATTTGCAAATATATATAAACCCATAATAGAATATAGAATTTAAACATATGAAATGTTTAAACTGAGAAACCTTCAAGAAAGTATTACCTTATTTCAAATTTCATAGCTGTAACATGGTCCAGAAAAGTTGGGAGAGGGCAACAAAGGGATAGAAAAGTAAGTGAAACTGAAAAGAAACTAATTTTTTTGGCAACAGGTTATTAAAATATTCAAATATATATATAAAAAAAACAAGTAAAGACTTGCAATCTAAGGGCTTACACATCTGGAAAGTCACTGTCACTGCTTTAGAGGAACTTATGCTCTCGTCCAGGTGATGCCTTTTTCAAGGAAAGGCCTTGCATATTTCAGCAAAACAATAATAAACTATACCTGTTAAAACAGGATGATCTCTTCAAATGGCAAATGTTTGTGTGCTTTTAAAAGACGAGTGTTAAACATGATTTGGAAACAGTTATGCTATGGTTCTTACGTAATAATGGTTCCAACCTGAACTCCTGGTGAAGTTGCATATTTGTTATTTTATCTGCACTTCTCCATTTTGTCCATTTTCAAATTTCACAAGTCTGATTCCAGTGAAACAAGATCAATTTTTCATGACTGTGACTCTGCGAGCCTCCTTGACATCTCAGTGGAAATGAATTCTTATTACTTTGTGCAATAGAGCCACCCAGTAACAGGAAAACTCATTTAACTTGCAGCAACAAATACACGTTTTGTAAAGAACTGGTTGACCAAATCTGGTTGTAGGGCATGGACCCTAAAAAAGCAGAGTATGCATGCTTATTTGATGCTTAATGATCTTATGAACATTTCATGCTTCTTTTCTCTGAAGGTATGATCTCACTCTGCCTGGGCTGAGGAACTCCATGTAGGAAGTGGAACAGAGAAATACTTCTGTGTGCTGTGATCTGATATAAGAAGTCAGTCTGGTTTCCAGACAGTCCTACTGAAGATCTTACTCGGAATAGAATAAACCTGAGAGCATTCTGATTCTCTTGTTTCCACATGTTTTCTGGATAAAAACCAGTGGTTGTTAATAATATAATTTCTAGGCATTAGAAAAATATTCGTTTCTCTACAGAAACAAGGCAGTGTCTGTATTTTTAATGTTTTATCCGAGCCAAAGCTACCTTTGTAATTTTGTGTAAATAGTTTTTATGCAATATACTGAGGGGAATAAAAGAAATGTGTAGATGAGTCAATACAGGGCAAAAAATGTTTACACACTTTGATAAACACTGAAATGCACAAACTCATACATAAAATATTTTACATGTCAGTTACCGATATAGGGAGAAGTACAGTATGCATTTTAAACCTAAAGACCTCAGACCAGCTACATTAATCTATTTTAAAAACTCACTCATAGCCTTTATGAATAGCTTCAGTTGTCAGTTGAATAGTTCATAGCTCAGTTGGTATTTGGTAAATTGGTTTCAACAGGCATCAGAATATCAGAGTGACTCTATTATTAGACTGTCAAACATTGATGGTGGGATGGTAAAGACGTTGTCTTGACTAAAAGTTTAATGTTTTGTATTAATTATTGAGCACAGAACCAGTGTCAGGTTGTTGTTTTTGAGTTGATGTTTAAAGTGACTTTTATTTTTACTAATATTTATGGCAAATAAACATCATCCAATAAACACATGGTGTATTTGGAATAATTTCAATAAGTGTATGATCATAACAGATTTCTTCATCTTGATCTTTCTTTGTGTATCTTTATTTTACAACATCATTCATTCTTTGAATGTATTGAGGAAATAAGAATAGGTATATGCAGGCACAGTGACTGTGCAGGAATGTTTTTTTTCTATATTCAGTTATTATAAGATAGAAATATCTCAAAGAATGCTGAAATGAAACCTATGAAGTATAATTACAAGGAGCGTAAGCTAAAAAAAAAAGTTTATGGGAAAGTATACAGTATTATATAGAACATATGAAGTGCATCTTTATTAAACACGGTTTTGTTTTTATTGCTTTTCTTATTGCTCTTAGTTTCTCTGTTTTCCACTTCTCAGCGCCGTATCGGAAAGGGGGCAGTACCACCACGTGCCACACAATGAAAGGACTCGCTCACCTAAACATTGATGTTGCCAGGGGAGATTAAAGTCTAACAGACCCGCGAGGACTTTCACGACATAACGCGAAACACAGAAACAGTGTTCATGACAGACACAAAAACTCCAGAGAAAAGCAAATAAAACGTCAATTATTTTAAATATGAAGCTTTAGATTTTTGTTGCTGTTCTACCCAAACGTCCACGCGCGCGGGTCTTCCTGTTGTCCACAGGTGTTTACGCGAGGTCACCGTTAATCACTTGGCAACTGCCCTAGCAACGGCACAGAGCTTCGGTAAAGAGTTTAGCGGTGGTTTTATGGTTACTTTGGCACGAATATGAGTTTAGCGAAGAAAAGAAGAACTATCACAGGTAGTCGCTCACTTTTGCCACTGAGTCCAGCACAGGTAAGTTCAGAATACCTGAACTCGAATATCGTCTGTGTTTCTGTGCTGCTAACTGACCGCAACAAAAAAGTTAGGAAGCCGGTGTTAGCGCACTGCGGACGTGAAGTCCAGCCTATGTGTGTAAAGAAGACAAATGAAAGCTTAACCCTGGTTGTTATAGCAAATTATTAAAGTTAATTGTTTTATTTATTCACTTACTTATTTTCAGGTGTATGTGTATGCCTGCTTTCTTTTAGGTTAGCTTAGTCTTATTTGTTTTCAGGGGAGGGCGGAGGGGGACTTACCTTGAACTCCTCTCTGTTGTACCATAATAGATTCCAGTATTCTGGAGTCAAATGTCAGAGGTCATTATTATTATTGTTATTATTATTATTATTATTATTATTAACAGTTAAAGCTTGGCTGGTATTAGGTCTTACAACAGGACAGTGATCTGATGCACACCAGTAAACCTCTAACAGAGCGGCTGAAAAAAAAAGAATCCAGGCTCTGCAATGGCCCACTCAAAATTCAAACCTCAACCCACTGAAGTGCTTTTGTTGGATCTTTAAAAAGAGGTGTGCATAAATGACTGGTCTCAGACCTTGCTAAGCAGAACCAACTGTGAAAAGTTGAGTGGACCATAATTACTCCACAATGATGTGAGAGACTGAAAGCCATGCAGAAAACCCTTACTGTTACTTCACATTATTGCTGTTAAATGTGCTTCTGGGGTGTGCTTTTTTTTTTTTAAAGGGACTGCTTCGAGTCCTGAGGAGACTTTATTTCATATGGCTGTGTATTTAATTTTTTTAGAGTTTGTTTTTATTTTTCTGAAGTCTTGTATTTCTGTTAACTCAGCAATTATCTCAATTTCTAATTTATTTTAGTTTTTGATAACTCCAATAACCTCTCTCCACTGCCCAGGTCCTCAGAAAGCAGCCCTGGATGGAAGCAAGACCGTCATTTTCGCTGTTTCCTCTAATCACACAGAAACCTGATGGGACTGAAACAGCTTCAAAACGTGTGTTCATTCCTCTAGGTTTTGAGTTGTTGCCTCTTTTCTTGGATGGTTTTATGCCAGCAGTTTTGTTTTTTTGTAGCTTTACAGTTTACCTTCCTGAACTGTTTCTGTGCTGTAGGAGATGAGTTAAATGATGAGGCAGGCAGCAGGGCCTTTCAAAGCCATGGCAGACCTCAGAGTCAGTTTGAGGACAGAATGTGGATGCAGATCCGTTGGACCTCCAAGCGTCGCAGCAGAATCCGCAAAAGCATCAATCGAAAAAACCTGAATCTCAGAAAAAACCTGGTTAAATTTATATGGTGAGTTCACTGTTTATTTCTGGTCCTTTATAAGTACTTATTTGTCTGTTATAGTACAGATATCAATCTGTTTAAAATATAAAGTAAAGCATGTTTATCTCCTCCCAGTGAATGGTGATTTCTTTCACAGTAATACACTAATTCAAACTAAAAAGCAGCTAAAATAAACATTAAATAAACTGCTAAATGGACGGATCTTTATGTCAGATTTCTTTTAACTTTTGCAGAAGGCTGAGAGCAGCCAGTCTGTCTCTTTCTAGCAGCAGTGAGGGTAGCCTGCAAGTGAAAGCACAGCTTTTACTCCACTGCATTATTTTAAAACCTTAGATGCTTTATTTCTAATTGAAATATGATATCTAAATTATGCTAAGCTTCTAGCAGTATGTAAAGTAATTAAAGTTGCTTTTTTGTGGGCCTGAAAAAAAACATATTACTGGTTTGGTTGTCCAGCATGGAAAAATGCTGCATGCTGACACCGGGCTTTGAGTTTGACATGTGCTGTATGCTTTGGCAGCATGGAAGGGCTCTGACTAACCACTTCACCACACATTTATGGATGGTTTTTGCATTAATATTGAATATACATTTTATGTTCTTACTATAAAGTATAATCAGAAAACTTTTTCAAAAGCAATTTTTTACTACAAACCATAACTGAGATTAAAGTATTGCGGCTTTAATGTGTTTAATATATGGAAATACTGTTTAATATGATAAAGTGGCATCTGTTTTTACTCTTATTTGCATTTTCTGACTTAGCCGGCAGGAAGAGGAGGAGGAGGAGGAGGAAGAGGAGGAAGAGGAGGAGCAGGAGGATGGCAAAACACCAACAAGTAGAGACTGTGAAATGGTAAAATTGAACTGTGTGCTTCATGGTCGGTCACTTTTTTTTTATTGTGTATATCCTCATTAACAAGATGTTGGACCTGAAGTGTAACAATTCTGTAACAGAAACAAAAATCCCCATCCAAATGTTTGCAGTATGGTGATGTAGTCCCAGCTTCCCTTACACTGACACCCATGCATAGATTTTAATGCACAGATAAAGGATTCAGGTTTAGAGATCATTTATGTAACAAGTTTACTGGAAACATAATGGTAAACCAAATCCTACAGGGAATTTGTAAAGATGACTTTTTTCTTCAATTTTTCTTGTTTACTTCGATATCATCTCGGTTGTGGTTTTGATCAGTTCTTTTTGAAAATCTTTATACAATATATTAACCATGTTTTCTCAGTTAAGTGCTTGCAGTTGGTAACTGCAGGATTTTTTTATTTACTGTGAATGATTTCCTTTACTTAAACATGCATTTTGATTTGGTAGTATAGTAAATGCAAGAAGTAAAAACACATTAATTTGAACTTCCATAGTGGTGCACCTTAAATAAATGAAAACAAGTAATATACTAAGAATATATTGCAGGTCATTCAGAAAGCACGCACAAAGAAAAATGTGTGTGCCCAGTAAAAATGGGATATTCACATGTTGAATCATATCTTTGAGTTGCATATAGGTGCAGAGTGATTCACTGGATATAGATGGATAATTTTATCAACTATTTTTTGGCTTTTTTTTGTCCTGTCAGAGATATAACTACTACATTGAGAATGGTATAGACCTGGACCACGTGTCACCTCTGGAGGAATCTTGGGTGGAGAGCATTATGAAAAGGGTCTCCCCAAACCTGAGGCGCCACAGCGCGTCACTGGAACTGCTGGTTGATGAGATCAAGGAAGACTATTTGCACAGCATCAAGACAGCAATCTGTATTTATTCATATATACTTAATATATATATATACTTTTAATCCGCAAATCATTCTGAGAATTGTTTATGAAATCCAAAACTAATTTATAGTCTTTTTTTATTGGGTTAATATGTTGGGTTAACACAAAACCTGAAGAGTTTAGTAATAATAAGAATAAAGTGGTTTCAGTGTGTGTGTGTGTGTGTGTGTGTGTGTGTGTGTGTGTGTGTGTGTGTGTGTGTGTGTGTGTGTGTGTGTGTGTGTGTGTAATTGCAGTGAAATATACATTCAGAGAATCAAAGGAAAGTGACAAAGAGAAAGAAAAAGATCTGCCCCCTCACAGACTAGAGTAAGTCTGCAGGATATTTATTGCATTAAAAACCTCTGCTAATATTCATAAGCAGTAACTACAAGACTAAACAAAATGTTCTAATTGTGTAAAGGCTTGTGGAAAATAGTTTTTTTCCTTACTGGCCCTTTATTGTTTACTGTCAGAGTGGAAAAGGTGCCAAAACCATGGAACAAGTCTTTTGTCCATGCACGCAAGAGGATTGGTGAAAAGCTTTACTCTGTCAACCCCACTGTGCTGAAAATACTCTACCTTTGGCATTTCTCCTTCAAGTGAGTATGGTTGGAAACATGATAGCTTCAAATTAATTTGGTTAAAATAAAATATTTTCTAATTTAGAAACTTTTAAATTACAAATGAATATTTAATTTAGTCACAA